GTTCTCTCAGAAGACTTCTTGGGCAAAAGGTTCTAGAACTAGAGGAGGATGTGTCCAGTTTTTCTGTTGTATACAAGGTCATTAATGATTTGATAGTAAAAGTAGGTTATCTGTTTAATGGGCATTTATTGAATAACCAAAATATCTCATGTTACTAAAATTTCCCCGGGGAAAACACAAATGAACAGGTTCTCTTCCCTGCGGACAAATGGTCTAGTAGAAAGCCAGACTTTTCTTGAGGGACAGATCTAAAATAGTCATTTGGGTAAATAAAGATATGAGATACTTTAGATAATGATACATGATACAGAGAAAACAAACCAAATAATAGATTTAATAGTGGGGGGATTCTTCCTAGATACACTGATAATGGAAGACCTCATTGAAGAGAAAATAACTTGAGCTAAGACCTGGATGAGCTCATGATTACAAAGCTTGTCCTTAGAAAAATCCAACAGTGATAAAGTTATGTATCTTTTCATGAGGCATGCATTCGATTTGGATCTTTATTTTGTTGGTTTTCAGTTGAAGGACGAGGGATAGGTAAGTTACCAGGTAATTCTGCTTGCCTAGTTTGAGATTTACTGCTATCCTGGATAAGAAGTGACGCTGACACGTTTCTCACCATTGATCCTTTTATGTATTCTTGCTAAGGCATCCTAGGCTATTTCACGAGCACATGCTCTTGGAATAATGACAGAGGATGTTATTGGAGCCCCAGCTAGTGTGACTCAGTTGGTTGAGCGCTGTCCCTTGCACCAGGACGTCATAGGCTCAATTCCTGGTCAGAGCACATGCCTAGGTTTTGGCCAGATCCCCAGTAGGGGACATGCTGATCAATGTTTTTTTCTCCCTCTCCCGTCTTCTCTCTCTAAAATAAATAAAAACATATATATTTAAAAATTTTAATTTAAATAAAGTTGTTATTGGAAAGATATATAGCTGATTTTCCCCCAAATTTTTCACATTAGTTATAACAAATAATGAAATCCTCCCTTTTGAAATATGTAAAGAGTGATTATACCGTTTATAACATCATTTAACAAACATACTAGTAGTCAAATGAATTTGCTTAAGATATGAATAATTATAAGAGGTCCAATAACATTGTGTAAAGCAAAAATATGTCCAGAAGGATATGGTGTGTCCACGACTTTGGTAGGAATCCAAGTGACTTTGACACTTTCTAATTTATATTTGATTTTGAGACACAGTTAAAAGTCATGTTAGAGTCTAGTCAGTAAACTAAATAATAAGAATAGTATAATCTAATAGTAGGATATTTGTATCTAGCCTCATATTGAAACATAATGACACTAATTTTCTTTGTAGTTGGCACTTTATTGACTGGTTAGAAAACAAATTTGTCCCAAGGCATGCTGAAATTTGGTGGTGGAAGTAGAATGCAAATTTTCAGTGCCCATCTCCTATTTAGTTTCTAGTAATTTAAAAATAATAATGAGCCCTGACCAGGTAGTTCAGTTGGTTAGAGCATTGTCCTAATTTGCCCAGGTTGCAGGTTCGATCCCCAGTCAGGGTACATACAGGAGTCAATCAATGAATACATAAATAAGTGGAACAACAAATCCCTCTCTCATTCTCTCTCTCTCTCTCCCTTCCTCTGTCTCTCTCTAAAAGCAATAAATAAATAAAAATTTTAAAAGATGATGAAGTGACTTAGCATTTAGACTCTGGCAAGGACATTGTTAATTAAATTTACTTCTCAAAATTTTAGATTATTTCAATCTGTACATGTCAAAACCATTAGGTCACTTTTTTCCTCCTGGAGCAACATGTTGATGATATAAATTTCTTCAAGATAATTCAGGACCAATCTTATTTCCTTCCAAATTTAGAATATAAATTTTAGGTCAGAAAAACATTTATAGTAGAAAAGAGAAATCAGTGAGAGCTGTTGAATATTAAAATGATGTCCCAGTATCTCACTTTAATCAAATTCCTTACACATTTCCCATTCAACTTGGTTCTACGTATAGTTAAGCTCAGTTCTTTGTAACCAAATAAAATGAAAATCAACCTTTTTTTAAAGAGATGGTGTTGACATTATGAAAGCAATGTAAATAAGTAGTTTGACAAAAATATTTTATGATCAGAGGTTATCATTTGTGGGTAAAAATGTACAAATGCATAAATGTATAAGGAAAACAAAATACAGATATCCTTTTATCACTGAGGAGTTGTGACTATTTAATTGCCCTTCATTAAATTGGTATCAGGGACAGCTGGGCAATCTTTGGAAAGATTAAACAAATTGTATTCATTGTAATATTATTATTAAGACTGACTTAATTGTAGGGCCTCACTAGCAGGAAACAACTTAGTTTGTTCAAGTCTTCTGAGCACACATTATAAACTATTTAATATACATGTCATTCCTCAAAGCTTCCTGTAGTATATAGTCTTTAGTAGTAAAGTTGTGTACCAGGTGTATTTATGAAGATTTCATTGTAGAAGAGTTATTCCTTCCAGATCTCACTTCCCTGTGAATATTTTGCAATTACCAGGATGACTTGTGCTTTATTCCGTGAAGACCTCTCTTGTTCCCACACTGGACTTTGATATCAAGTGAAAGTAAACATTACCCTTTAAGCACTTATTATGAGCCAGGCAACCTCATGGAATGGTTATGTTATCATTGCAAATTTACAGATGAAGTACAGAGAAGTTAAATAACTTACCCCACATCACACAACTAGCAAGTGGCAGAGCCCAGAGACGAACTCAGAAGATACGGTTCCGTATCCCACATTCTGATTTTAGCACCACAGAGTGTTGTCTCTCAAGCCTTGTATTGACGGTTCCTTACCACCATACGTAAGCAATCATAAGTGCTTTCATAGGGAGAATAAATGTTAGATCGGTGTCTTTACCCACTCAGGTTTTAGGGCTGTGTTTTAAATCTGTTGTTTCTATGATATACTTGGAAATTTGGGGGGCTTTAATAGAAGGCTTCTCTAAAGATGGTCTCTTTTGGGAAGATGCAAGTGTTGAAACTGTACTCAAAACTTGTAACTGTGAAGAAATATTGCCCCTTACACATTTTCAGTTGCAAAACGAAGATAAATGAATAAGGGGTGCCTTTGATTCATTTGCTGTCAATTCAAAGACTTGGCGTTCTAACTAAAGCAGCCTCTTATAAAAAGGTTTCTATTTAGAATGTTCTTGGAATTAATCATCGTTGTTTATTTTCCTTATTTTTTTCTCCTTTTGCATTTTTTAATCAAAAAAAAAATTAAACATAGTAAAGGCCAGAACAGAAATAATTTCTTACCCTTAATATTTTCCATGGGATGGGGTTAGAATGATCACTGTAAGGTCAGGGACTGATGTGAAAGCGGCTGCTCCGTAAAGAACAGGCGTAGCCCCTGCGCGTGTGGGGTTTCCTGAGCATTTCTAATGAATTCAGAGGACCACCTAATCCCAGCAAAAATACTTACTCGCACTCAAGAGATTGGCGCTCCCCATTTGGCTTTGGAACATACCTAAACCTCTTTCTGTTGGTTTGTTTTCTATCTGGCACCACTTTTGTTGGCATCTCCTGTTGGCATTAGAGAGCTTCCTGGAAAGCAATCGTTTTGTTGTGATCCGGAGATGCCTTTGTCCGGCTTCTAGGTCATGTTTTGAACTCAGAACAAATGACAGGGCTAAGCACACTAGGTGAAAATGCCCATTTGTTACACTCATGGCAGATTTTTTTTTTTTAATGATGCAAAGTGCTCAAGTTCCAAGTAGAACTATTTTACATAAAAATCCAGTGAAATTGATTTTTGGCTATAACTTGGAATAGCTGGGAAAAATATCAAGAAAAGCAACTTTTTTCAAAAGGCAAATGAGTTTTTGAAGCTGGTGTTAATTGGCAGCCAAGGTGTTTCATTATGAAGCTGCATTTTTAACAGTTGTTACTTGGTTACTATGAAAACACCAGCCAGAAAGAACACACCACGGTGCAGTGTCTGTTTCTCGGGTCTCTCCCAATCCCTCCACCGACTTGTCAATAATGGGAGTCCTGTTTCGAAACTCTATATGCTGCCTAGAAAGCCCTTGTGTTGGCTCTTTATTCAACTTTATTCCTGGGTAAGATGGGTATTTCATCATCAAAGGGTTCAGGGAGGATCACTTTCAAACTTCACATTGTATTTTTCTGTTTTGCAATTCTCTCTGTTTGAATGAAACCTTAAGAAGACCTTATTGGGAGAACTGTTTTTCCTTTATAACCTAGAGCATAAAGCTAACCACAGGAAACGATTCGTTTGGATAAAGCAATGTGAAATGCAGTGCTTTATCTCTATGTGTGAGTGTAGCTACTGCTGATTTTTTTAGGGAAAAACACCTGAGGGCCATAAGTAGCAGGTTCCCACTGTTGACTCCCTCCCTAACAGTAAACAGTGTGAAGGGTTTCTCTCCACACATAACATATCCAGAGCCCCTGGGAGTATGTATGCTTTGATATTTTCCCCATCCTGACATTTTACTAGCTGGCTAAGAAAAAAAATTGGTTTGCTCAGTGAGGCCTCAACCGGTAGGCAACAAATTCCTGCATTGTCCTAGCGATAGGCCTCCTTTTAATTTCCCTTGTGTTCTGCATCTGGTTTTATGGTGATGTAGAGAGAAAAAAATTATTTTCAGTGGGTGATGCGATAAAAGTGTTGGTTTAAATTCCTTGCCAACAGTTCACCAGCCAAATAATGTAAAGCTGTGACTAGAGTCTTATGGAAGCCTCTTTGTTGGTTCTAAGGAACAAGCATGGCTATATGTGTTGTCCTTTCGAAACAAAAGCAGGTTTTCCTCTGGCCTTGCCCAGCCTCACTCGGGTCTTACAGAAGGGCCGGTGCTCTGCCCGGGCGTGTCACGGGGAGGCCGGGGCAGGGCTGAGCTCGTGCACGCCTCGCTCCTCGCGTGCTGGGCAGCGTGTGCACTGGACTCCTGGCAGCTCCGCGGGTTCACTGGACACCGCTGTCCTTGTGTTCATCCCCTCGCAGGCCATGGTCGAGACAGTGAACAACCTCCTGCAGCCCCAAGCCTTGAACGCGTGGAGAGACCTGACTACGAGCGATCAGCTCCGTGCAGCCACCATGCTGCTGGACACGGTGGAGGAAAGCGCTTTCGTGCTGGCCGATAACCTTTTGAAGACTGACATTGTCCGGGAGAACACAGACAATATTCGTAAGTGGCCTTTGTCGCACAGGGGAGCCAGAGACGCTAGTACAGCAGAAGAGGGAATAGAAAAAGTATCTCTAGTGTCTGTGGTGGCCTAGATCTTATGAGGGATACGCTATTATTTTTCTGCCATTAAGAGACTTAAAAGGGCCTCACACTCGCGTGTGCTACCCTCCTTAGGGCACCCCAGTATTGGGTGCCTTAGCCTGGGGTCACTTTCAGTGAGGTCCCTTTAATTTTGTTTTGTTTTTAATGGATATTTGTTTCTACACCCATATTGTACTATTTAAGATTTTACACCCCTAAGGCGGGGCTGCTAGGTCACTTCAGTTATGGTAGGAGTGTCTCTGACCTACGTTCTGCAAAGAAGGCGGTCGTTAAGTTAGGGGTTAAGACAATTCCTGATAATTGTGTTATTGGCTCATGAAGGGCATAAATCTGTTTTTATTGTGTGTAGGGATGTAGCTGACAGTTTTATTTCAGGAGATTTGATAAAGCTGTTTCAAACTTATTAGATTTAAAGATAAATCAATATTGATGTAATAACGTGGCGCTAGATTATAAAAGTATTTTATATCTGATTCATAAGATAAAGATAACATTTTGGAAATAAACTTTAAGTCAACAACAGAGTATATGGCTCTGAGCTTGAATTTTAAATTTTTGACTTCACAGCTGCTACATTTAAATGCTCATTTACCTGATTTTCATAGTTTTATTTGCTTTATTTTGAGAGAAAACTTACCATTGTAAATGAATACTTTCTAAGTAAAAGACTGAACTACTATAAAGCATGACAAATACAGCGTTGATTCTGGTACTTTGATTTTGGAACTAGTTCAGTGATTTAGGAAGTCGCCTTGGCTTTACGGTATTTCCCCACAAGCGCTGGTCTCTCCTTGCCATTTACAGAGTTGGAAGTTGCAAGGCTGAGCACAGAAGGAAACTTGGAAGACTTAAAATTTCCAGAGACTGTGGGTCATGGAAGCACCATCCAGCTTTCTGCAAATACTTTAAAGCAGAATGGCCGAAATGGTAGGTTAGAGTCTATTTGTTAAGCTTGGTAGAATCGCACTTGTCATCAATGCATTGCTTTCTTGGCTTGGAATTTTATGTTTTTTATTGTTGCCAATCCTCACCTGAGGATATTTTTCCCACTGATTTTTTAGAGAGAGTGGAAGGGAGGGGAGGAGAGAGAGAGAGACAGAGACAGAGACACTGACGGGGCCGGGGAACAAACCTGCAGCCCAGGCACATGCCCTTGACTGGGAATTGAGCCCATGACCCTTCGGTGGGAGGGCCGATGCTCTACCACTGAGCCACACTGGCCAGGGCTTGGCTTGGATTCAGGCTCAAAAAACATATATCAGCAAGGAGGCTGATGGCAGCCTGTACTATTGCACGGAGTCACTGCTGCCACAAGTGAATGCTGCTGCTGCACCTCCTGCCTCCTTGTGTCATAAGCCCTCATCCAGAGTCTGAGGCGGGTGCACCTGATGGGACGCATCTCGCTGAGGAGCCCAGAGCAGGCTCTCGGCAAGGCAGACTGAGAAACCGAGCACATGCCAGTTTTGTGTCTCTAAATCCCTAAGAGTAAGGAATTTCCCAAACATGGGAGAACAGTTTAGATGTTGGACAGTCCTCTCCCTCCTCAAAAAACAGATTAAAATGTCTTTGTTTTCATTGCCACTTGACTCTAAGATTCAAGGGACAGAGACCGTGACTTGCTTAATAACCTTAGTAGTCAGGGAAGCACCTATCCCTTGTTGGACCAATATGAGTTCATAATGGAAGACTTGACTTCTTTTAGGAAAGGAAATATTAAAAAAACAAACACACAAACATGTTAAAAGAGGATTATCTGTAAGAGATTGACAAGATGGTAAAAATAAAGGGGGGGGATGTATGGAGGCAGTGACCATAAAAGAACATAATTGAGTTTTAAGACAGGTAAAATTTTTGAATCTTTGTATGTATTTTTTATTGTGATGGAGATATAATTTACATATAATATAATTCACATAACCTTAAGAGTTTAGCTTGATGAATTTGACAGTTGTACTTATCCTCTGGAATATCTTACAAGATATGAATCTCTTCTATTACCCGGAGAATTCCCTGGGGCCTCTTTCCATTCTGCTCACCCCCTGCCCCACCTGGTGAAACTACTTTCTTTTCCTTACTATTTGCATCAACACCTTCTGCCTGTTCTTAGATTTTAAATAACTGGAATCATACGGAGTAGACTCTTTTCTGCCTGTATTCTCTAACTCAGTAATCTTGGGGTTCAGTCATGAAGCTCCATTTGGCAGTAGGTTGTTCTTTACTGATTCATAGTATATTCCACTATATTAATATGCCATCATTTGTTCTTCTGTTGGTAGGTTTTGGAGTTGCTTCCAGTTTGGTGCTATTATGAATAAGGGTGCTATAAAAATTCTCGCACAAGTTTTTTTTCTTTTGAATTTATGTTTTCGCTTATCTAGGAAGGGTAGACGTATATTAACTTCATAAGAAACTGCCAAACCTTTTTCTAAATAGTTGAACCATTTTATACTCCTTCCAGCAGCATGCCGGGCGCAGGAGTTCCAGTTGTTCCCCATCCCTGTCACCGTTAGTGTGGACAGTCTTTGATTTTAGAGATTCTAGTGGATATGAAATGGTATCTCAATGTGATTTTAGTTATTTCCTTCACTAATAACGATGTTGATGATTTTCCATATCTCTTAGCCTATCATATATCATTTTTTTCTAAAGTGTCCGTTTATGTACTTTGTCATTTCAGTGTGGCATTTATTGTTTTGCTGTTGATTAACAGATATACTTTATGTATTCATGAGTCATATATATGTATATTTTTTCTAGTCTGTCGCTTGCCAATTCATTTTCTTAATGCTGTGTTTGACAGGCATAAATTTTCAATTTTGATAAAAATAAGTTTACCATTTTTTTTCTTCTGTAATTAGTGTTTTTGGGGTCCTAACCAAGTCATCTTTGCCTTTCTCAAGATCACAAAAATATTCTATACTTTGTTCTGGAAGCTTTATGGTTCCATTTTTTATGCCTATGTCCATGATCCATCTTGAATTATGAAGTGAGATAGGGATTGAGGTTCATTTCTTTTAATACTTATTTGTAGTTGTTTCAGCATCTTTTGATTTTCCTTTCCTAATGAATGACTTGGCACTTTGGTTAAAATGAATGCTTAACTTTTGTTGTGTGTATATAGTATACAGATTTGATTACAATCTAATTAGAACTATCTAATTTAAGTAGAATGTACAAAGTAATCATCATTTCTCCCCAATTTATAATTCACATTTGCATTTATTTTAGGAGAGATCAGAGTGGCTTTTGTTTTATATAATAACCTGGGTCCTTATTTGTCCACGGAGAATGCCAGCATGAAGTTGGGAACAGAAGCTATGTCCACCAATCATTCTGTCATTGTCAATTCCCCTGTTATTACTGCAGCAATAAACAAAGAATTCAGTAATAAGGTTTATTTGGCTGATCCTGTGGTATTCACTGTTAAACATATTAAGGTAAGAAAATGGCATCTTAAGTTTAGTTGTCCACATTATCTATATTTGTTATAGCATGAACACAAAGTGTATTAATTTTGTTTGAGTTTTTTATTATTTGATATATAGCAATTCAAAATCTATTATGTAATAGTCGAATTTTTTTCTGAAATGAGGAAGGAGAATATTTCTTTTTTTTCCCCATATACTTTTATTGATTTCAGAGAGAAGAAGGGAGAGGGAGAGAGAGATAGAAACATCAATGATAAGAGAGTCATTGATCGGCTGCCTCCTGCACGCCCCTGACTGGGGATCGAACCTGCAACCCAGGCATGTGCCTTGACTGGGAATCGAACCCTGATCGCCTAGATCCTAGGTCAATGCTCAATTGCTGAGCCATGCCAGCTGGGCAGGAGAATATTTTTTGAATATGTACATTGCTTATGATAAAAACATTCGTAGATCAATTTATAAATGCTTCTCCATATTAAAAAGACCTAGCAATATGTTCATTAAAATTGGACATGGCTTCCCATAGGATATTACAAGTAATTATGTCTTTGTCTGTAGATATATTTTTGTTATGCTAAGATTATATTGTAAATTGAACAAAGATTTCTGAAGACCATCCTTTCAGAAGTTCATTAGAACAATTTCCTTTACTCTGTAATATACTTTACTTTGAAATTAATTGATGTGATTCTGAAACATTGGTATTAGTATTCCTTAAATATTAATTTTTGGAAAATTAAACTCAGCCCTAATCGGGGGACTAGACCACAACAAATTTGCTTAGACTTGATGAGTCCCACTTCATAGGAAAACACTGGTAGACATCTCCACAAGAATTGTAACAGAGTATGAAGTTGTGTTGATGTAAAGAAAATGCCCACCTAATTTATGTGATCATAAAGTAGTTATTGGTTTTATTGATTTTTCCCCCCTCTAGCAGTCTGAGGAAAATTTCAACCCCAACTGTTCATTTTGGAGCTATTCCAAGCGCACAATGACAGGTTATTGGTCAACACAAGGCTGTCGGCTCCTGACAACAAATAAGACACATACTACATGCTCTTGTAACCACCTAACCAATTTTGCAGTACTGATGGCACATGTGGAAGTTAAGGTAAGATATATAGCATAAAATGAAAATGCATACAGTCAGGACGCGAACGGTACAAGTCCTCACCTATGGGCCAGTCTCATTGCTCACTTCAGAGGTTTTCTGCTTCCACAGTAATTCTATTCAGGAACTCTCTGGTGTTCAACCCATACCCTGCTATGATTCGAAGAACCCTTTTTTTCTATTATCAACATAGTTCATAAAATCAGAGTTTGCCTATAAAATTTATCTTAGTCTCCCCTGCTTTTATATTGTATGAATACATGTCAGACCTCATGAACAGGGCAAGATAGGACCCCAGAACCAAAAGCCGGTGTGGTGAGATTTAGAAACTGGGATCCGGTATATTGAAGACTAAGGAGCTCTGCATGGGTTTAAATTCTGTCAAAATGACTCTTGGGAAAGCAGCCATGAAGCACAATGCACAATGCATGGTAATGCAAAGGGCTTAGCAATTCTAACATAATGTGGTGGGTTTTGTCCATTCAAGAAGACACCATCCTACAGAAAAATCCATGTGATACGTAGTTCCCAAAGTCAGGAGCATCACTGACTTGGCTGTTTCGGTGTTTTCCCAGCATGGCTCTGGCTGTCACGTGGGTGTAAAAAGAAGATTTTGATTTCAGGTATACTTAGGACATAAAAATACAAAGTGCTGATTAACCTGGTTATAGAGACTGATAGATGAGTTGCTAACAAGAAATTATATACTTGTGAATTCTCTTCTCATATTCCTTGTGCCAATAAATAGAGAGGAAGTATTACTGTCTAACATATTTTAAAAAGGGAAAACTGTAGCTAAAGTTTATCTACCTGTTGTCATTGATCCAAATAGTTTCATCCAAAATTTTCTTTGACACTGTTGAATTTAAAGATGGTACAAGTATCCCAGAGGGAGACCAAATGCAAGCCCAATTACACCTTAAGAGTAAATTGCCTTCGCTGTGTCAGCACAGTTCAAATATTGGTCTTTAAAGGACTGCAAACACATTTTGTCAGGGCATCACAAATTGATGTAGCTTAACAATTTGGCTGCGCTAACAAATGTTAGATTTAAACTTGGAATGTGTTAGTATGGCTCTGGGATTCTATTTTTCAGTTTAGGGAATACATTCAAATTCAGAATAAATGGATTCCATTTGAAGCAACAACAAACTATCATTTTGCTCAGCCCATTGCGTGGCAACATCTACCCAATCTATTATACAAGAATCCTGACTGTGACTGTTATTGTGTGTCAACAAGAGATAAAATAAATGGAAATCAATATTTTCCTTTAGCAGTCCGTCACACAGTGTGTATGTCCTGTATTTCTTATATAACATACTCTTGTGATTACCTAAGTCAATCCCATTTTGATTTCACAACATGATTTTGACACTTGAAAAACAGAAAGCAAGCAGTCCATACGTAGAAGTCCAATAAGTTACACACTAACCCAACCTTCATTAGAGTAATGTCTAAAACAGACCGCTAACTTACTCACGCAGAGTGAGAAATACAGCAGCCAAACGGAACAGTTACTAATGTTTGCAGGTGCCACTTTCTAACTCTGCAGGTCAATCTATAACAGAAACAAAATTATATTGGAGAATTTAGTTGACAATCTTGAAAAAGGAGCGAGAGTAGCTGAGTAATCCTGAATTATGGTTATTAAGCTGCGGTTCCCTGATGCATGGGTCTTCACTGCAGGGCTCTCTGCCTGGGTGCCAAACTGCCCTTATCTATCATCTGCGTGATCTCTACTGGTCATTCAGCACTTCCTTCGTTCTTCTATTAAGATTGTGTGAATACCTGAGTAGTAGAAGTGTTGACAAGTTGCCTGCTACACCGTAGGTTCTCAATAAACATAACTTCCCCCTCTCATCTGCCAGAGATATTTCTAGAGTCCACATATCAGGGGAGCTTCTGGCCCTCAAGGAACTCATGCAGGGATGTGAAGCTGCAGCCCTAACTGTAATAAGTATTATAATTGAGGTCAACATTGCGATGTAGGGACACAGAGGAGGATCATCTGTATAAGGTAGACTTCTAGTAAGCTTCACAATTCCAGAACTACACTTTTGGTATTCTCTCATGCGACTTTTCCTTGTTAGTAATGTTCTTCCAGGTGTCTTGGCCCAAAACCAAATCTTTGATTTTTTTTTTCCCCCCTTCGTAGTCATACCCAGTCCTCTGAGCATATCCTGCCAGATCCAGCATCTGACAACTTCTCTGCATCTTCAGCACTACCACCTAGATTTAAGAAACTATCATCTCTCCTCTATGTTTTAGTTACAGCCCTTAATTGGTCTCCTTTCTTTCCTCCTGTCCCCTTAAGTTTATTCTCAGCATAAAGACCAGAAGGATTCTCTTAAATGTGAGTCAGACTGTATCACTCCTCTGATTCATTCTCAAAAGCAATTCTATGATCCTTTACAATGCAAATCAGGTAGTTCATACCTTTGATCCAATCTGAAGGACTTCTTATCACAATGAGAGCAGAATCCAAAATCCTGGCTGCATTACCATCTCTTGACCTCCTTTCCTACTACTCTTCCCCTTGCTCACTTGGCTTCAGCCACATTGTCTTTCCACAAACACATTAGGTGTGTTGTAGTTAGACTTGAAAGTCTCCTTCCTCCTACTGGGCAAAGAACCCAGAACCAACTGTCTCATCTCCTTCAAGTGCTCCAAGCCCCTGGCCTCAGTGAATTTATAGTTTATCAAGGTAGAAAAGTGTTGAGACTGATTTTTTTAATGTGGCGCTGAGGGAGATTTTATAGCTGGGTCAATTTAGGGAATTAAAGGAAGGAGGCGGGTGCTTCTGCCCCAGGTGGCAACACAGCTGGTTAATGACTTCTGAACTCTCTCTACTTCTGTTGTCTAATGAAACACATGATTGTCTCTCTTTTAGACAGAAAAGTAATCATTACAAATGTTTAGATAATGTGATTTTGCACTAAACTGAGATAGGATTGATGGTATTTTAAAACCTTTCCATTATTGGAATCATCTACAGGTTTGTTTGTTGTTCAGCAAATTGTTAAATACACTAAATTGAAATGTATATCTCTTCTCTTTCCAGTAATTCTTTTTGTGAACGCCATTGGTAGGAGGAGCATTTTAGTTTATAGGAGCATAAGTTTCAAACTAATTGACTAACATTTCTACTACGGTTTTGTAGAGTACTATAAATAAATGCTTTAGAAAAGGCTCTGACAATTTATATCACCTATAGCTCTTTCCTGTGCTCAAATTATAATTCTTTGGGAGATAATAAAGTTAAAAGTCTCCCTGCTCTGCCCTGTCAGTTTAACTTAACATTGATCTTTAAAAGGCTTCACTTTCCTTAGTTTGACGGTTACACTTCTCTCCTCCTCTCTCTTTTTTTTAGCTTAGTATATCTTATTGCCCCCACCCCAAATTCATGTCTGTCCAAGTGTAAGTATTGATTTTGCTGTTAAAATCATTGTATTTCTTCCTTAATTTAGTATTGATTTAAAGCGGTGACAATTTGGAAATTTTTAAATCCATACCACAGATTTGGTATGTCAAAAATTATATAGCAAGACCTTTTTCTAGGCTAGAAGAAAACACGAGGTAGTTTTATATTGCAAGGTTTTGAAGTTGCACATGAAAGAAAGAACTTATTTTTCAAAAGAAAATATTTTTATTCTTGAAAATCCAAAAAGAAATGTTACTTTGAGCTTAAGAAATTATTTTACTAGAGAAAAATAAAATGTTTAGTGTATGATGCTAAAGGTTATACACTTCCATTCACAAATATTTATGCTGATTTTATATTTTGCTATTTATAGTAGATGGAATTGAGGCAGAGGTACAGATTAAACATTGTAACTGGTATATAGTGCTTTAAATAGTGTATTTATTTAGGGAAAAAATTAGATAACTGGCAAGTTGAATATCCTCCAAATATGGAATATTCAATAAAAATAAAATGGTTTCAAAAAAATTGTCAGAAATGTCAGATTTTGTTATATTAATTATCTTGAATTAACTTTATATTTAAAAAAATGACAAACTTTTAAGAACCAAGAATTATTCTTGGATTTTCTCATTGAATAGTTTTATAACGATCTAGTTCCTTCATAGATTTATTAAAACTTGAAATTATTTATTTGCTAGTGTGAAGTTTTATTGTGTACCTCTTCTACTGGACTCTAAGCTCAGTATTAAGAGCAGAGAGAAGGGAGAGAATCAGCCTTGCAGATCATCTGGGGAAAGACTCTTCCAGGAAAATGGAACAAAACCAAGACCCTGAACCAGGGGCGATCCTGATGTGATTGAGGAACTCTAAGGAGAACAGTGTTGCTAGAATGGAAATAGTAAGAGAGAAAGTACATTAGCAGAAAAAGTCAGAGGGTCTAGAACAGAAGGCTTGGTACAGCATCAGAAGACATTGTGGTATCGGAAGGACTTTACTTCAGTGCAATGGCAGCTCCACAGCAGCGTTTTGAGCAGAGGAGCAGCATTATTAGTCATGTACACATGTAATATGTTTAATGTTTTACATCTACTGATTTGATGTACATGTATTAAGAAGGAAATCTACCAATTTCATATATATTTATTAAAATAGAAATTCAGCCATGCCAGACTTTAAATGATAGATATATACTTCCTAAGAGTGTGAATTAGTTTTTACGCTGAGAAATAGGTATTTTGCTAGATAGTTTATTTTTATGTATTTTAGTCTCTCTGAATTTTAAGCTCTCTGAGACATTTCGCATATTTATTCTGGAGTCCTCCATACCTAGAACTAAGTCTGTGACAATTTAAGATCTTCTGGACTGGTGTAAATTTTTGCCCAGACTAACAAGAAGTAATCCATCCCCTTACCTTAATAAATGAATAACAGCTACGACCTTCCTCATCAGCCCACACCCCTCCCCCTTGACCAGACACCTGTAAAATACATCTTTTAATTTCCAGAGAGAGTTTTTAGAATTTTATACCATTTGTGAGCAATGGGCATAGGACAGGTATTTCAAAATATGGAT